AATTTTCAGATTCTGTCTTCAGATCTTTGTTTACAATAACAGATGAAAAGAATTACTTTTACTTTCTGCCTCCATGTTCTTCTATTTTCCCTAAGGCAACTACAGTAATAAAATGAGTTAAAGGGAACAGTCCTCATTTATTGCCAACTTTGTTTTTCCAAAGTATCACCAGATATGGCTGAGGGACACTTGCTGAGTTACACACAACTTTTTCTTTTCTAGTTTTTGTTTTTCTTTTTCTTTTTTTTTTTTCTTTTTTCTTCTTTCTTTTCAAATTAAATCATTACACACTGAGGGATCCATAAGCCTATGGTCTGGTAACCACGGCAGTAGCGGATCAAGGGTTGGACTTGATGATCTCAGAGGTCCTTTCCAACCCGGCTGATTCTATGATTCTATGATTCTATAGATCCATCCCCTCCCTTCCTATAATTTAGGTCTGGAAAAGTTTAAAGGAAGCATAAACCATGATGGCATATGAACATTTTGGCTGTATGTATTATCATAAAAAATGAGATGATGAATTAAATTACAGTCATGTTTTTACACCTGCATGAACAATAAACTCAGTAAGTAGGTGCCAGCCACACTTGAATGCAAAGAAGCATGCACAGAATATGGTTATATTGTGTAGTGTAAAGTCTTGCTTCTTCTTCACTGGAAATAGGTTTTTGATCTAAAGTGATTCCAAATTACCATCAAGAGGACTATCAAGTATAAAAAAATCAATCACGATTGAAGTCAGGTAAAAGTTAATAACTAGATAAAATTTAATGGCAATTAAATAACCCAAGCAGATGCCTATCTCCTATAAATTATAATACAGTCAGTGCTTACCCACAGACAATTTTGCTGATACACTTTAGCTGTGTACACAAAAGTGTAACGCTGTATGGACCTGTATGTACGTAACTGTGTATGTTCATGTGACAGAGCACACACAGAAGCTTGTTGATACCAAGTACTTGGTACTCTTTGCATCCGTTTGTACATCAGCGTAGATTTCTCACCAGAAACATCCAGGGAGAAGCCGATATCATACAGCATGCAAAGTGCATATAAATGTCTGCCATCATGCAGCTTGTCCTGTGCGGCTTTACTAAAGTACCTATTGAAATGTTAAAGATTTATACACATCAAGGCCAGAAAGGACCGTTTAAACAATTCAATTTGAGCTGGAATCTTTAAAAGTGGTTAAATAAATTCAACAGCCAAATCACACTTGAAAATAACATCCTAAGGTGCCCTTCAGAAACACATCTTTTAAGCTTTCAAGTCATAGAAATCTATCATACCCTTTAAAAGGGATTTCTCAGATTAACTGTGTAACGTGAACTACTGTTATGGTGCCTCAGTCAAATCTAGTGCAGAGATGTATCAACTGAACAGCAGCCAAAATTTTTAAAACAATGGTAAATTAACAGTTTAAGGACTAAATGAGGTTTCCAGTCAGGAACCTATTCCTGCCATATCCCTACTTGCAAAACTAACTGGTGTTTCTGGTAACTTTTGTAAATCACCCAGGCTTTGCTTTGCTGGTTTATGATATCCCAAGAATGTCAGACTGGAACTGTAGCCACTTTTTTTTTTTTTTTTTTTTTTTAGTTACCTATTATTCAACCCACATGTAATGCAGAGGTTGCCATGTGTTTTTGCAGGGTCCCAGATGACTGTCAGATTTTTAAACAAAAATATTGAGGCTCACTGGTGAGGAATATGACTAGCAGCATGACTGTTCTGTAAGTTTAGTATAAAAGCTGAGAATTATTCTGTAGAGACTTTGTCGTCTTTGATCATTATCAAGGTCTGGCCAGGAATCATGAGAAATATTCACAGGACTTACAGAAACCAGAATAGATCAAATAAAACACTGAAGTCCAAAATAGCAAGAAATCCTCACAGAATTGCTCATTTAGTTGAATTACGTAAGCAAATATCTTATTTATTATTTATAGTCTTTAATTTTTCATGAACAACGTTACTTTGGTGCTTGTGATACTCTATACTGAGGAAGTGGAAATATATTGTAATACTAAGTACTTACATGGGAGAGTAATTATGATTTTATTGGAAAAAAATCTGTATTTTGTGGGAAAGTGTAGCAGTTAACCTCTGTCAGAGAAGTCCTGCTGTAAGTAGGTATTGCATAGCTGGGGAGGGAGTCTTCCAGCATCTCTTCTCAGCTTACTCATATGAAAAAAAGATCCAAAGCATACTTTAACAGCTTTATCTATCTATACAGTGAGTAAAGCTTGAGTAATTAACATATAGTAAGCCCTTTAAGAAACAGAAATGACTGCTTAAGTAACAAAGAGGTAGCAGGAGAGCAGGAACAGGCCCCGTTGGCTGCTCTCCCCAAATCCCGCGTGGACTGTCCTGAGCCACAAACCTGCTGTGCCTGGATTGGCATGACTGACAGTGTCAGGATAAGGAATCCCTCTGAAGGAGTGAAAACGATGGTAAATTACCCCTTATAATTATGAGAGGAAATCTCTGAGGCCATAGCTGAGGTTAGCAGTGGGGCAGGGCCAGGGTTACACTTGTGCTGCAGCTGCTGCAGTGCACCTGGCCCATTAGTGGGGACTTGCATTTTCAGCACTGACTTACCCTGGAGATCAATAATTAAAAGTTGTTTTTTTTTTTAAAAAGACCTCAATGTAGAAGTATAGACTGTCACGTGGAAAGTTTTGAACCATCACAAGTGAAGAGCATATAGTATCTCAGAAGTGGTACATGCTGAAAGCAGTATTAAATCAAGCATGGTTTGTATGTCATTGTATTTGTCCTCTATTTCTCCTATTCCCACTACTGAGAGTCTGTTGAGTTATTTTTATGGCCTTTATATTTCACACTCCCAAGGTACCGACAATGGTTTTAAGGAATAAATAAGGGAGGAATAATAAGTTTGTTAAATGATCTGTAATCTTTATCTGTAATTACAGCTAAAGCAGTTGCATTAAATATGTTGCTTGTAATGCACTGTTTTATGGCAAGAACAAGCAGCTGTAAATATTTAAAGATGATGTTCTGAACACACCAAGATATGTATTCCCTCCTTCTGGCTGCCTACTGAAACTGGAACCCACATTACATATGACGTATGAGTTTATTTTATTTTAATTTCTCACCTACTCTTGTAGAGAACTCTAAAATTAAAAAAAAAAAAAAGGAAAGCAAAACCAGCACCAACAAGCCTACATGTGAAAAATGTTTCTGAAAACAAATTAGCATATTCTAGCAACATTTTGCTGTACTGCTGTTACTCTCAGTCTGGCCTGCACTGAGTGCTGAGTTCTGTGCTCCTGTTCTGCCCACCAGCTCATGGCAGTGCTGCTCCTAATGCACAGGATGATAGCAGGCAGCTCATGTGCCAGGGGCACACACTGCACTGCTGTGTGGCATGGGCTTCACTTTCTGCTCCTGATCAGCAGGTGTAGCTGTCCTAATATTACAGGAAGCAAAGGAATCAAGGTGAACAGAAGTTACAGTATAAACAGTCCTCTCAAGCTTAGCACAGCCAGAGGATGGGGATCTGAACTTCCCAGCTCACTCCAGAACATGCGTCTCTATGATTTTCAACAACTGCATTAGAATCAGCATGGTCCAATGCATAAAGCATACTCTTACTACTGTGAATTTCTGAAAATAATTATTCAAAATAAAAGAGTATGCTTTCACTTTAGGCACTGAATGTCCTACTAATTTTCTAGGTTTTTACCCCAGCTATTAATAAATCTACTTAATGTAATATCATAATACTTCATTTAAGATCAAGCAGCAAGGCTAGTTAATTTTCTCACATATTTAACACTAGCCTTTTTTTTTAACCTTGAATATTAGATATTCTAGGCTTCAGCTTGTAAAGGACTCCTGAAAATTATTTGTGAACATGAATTAATTTAAATGTATTATTTTTATGTAATGAGATAGCCTAAATATCTGGCACTTCAGCTGTCCCTTCACATATATAGTTCAGCCTATATTTCCTAGTTTTCACCTAATCCACCTCTACTGTTCCCAAATGGCTTTTTTATGAAGACAACTGTCCTCTATGGCCTAGGTAAAGACTGATGAAACTATTTTTATTATGACCTAGGAAATTATTCAAATGGAGCTCTCCAGAGGCATATGGTTGGCATTATGAATATTTTACAGAATCATCTCTGAAAATCAGGCCAATAGCATATCCACACGGGGCCAAGTTCCACTCTCACTTATACCTTGGCAACCACAATGATTTCCCATTTGGCTTTGCTATGCAAGTATTTGTTTGGCTTATTGCAGGCATGTATTTTTTATCTGCTTTCCCCCTTCTTCAGCCCTTTCCTCCTATTTCCCATTCTGTTCCTATACAGAAGACAGTTATTATCAGCGTGGAATGATTGCTATTTGGGGGCTACCGGCTATGTCTCTCCTACCTCATAAATACAGGCAATATGATGTACACAGGAATGAGGGAAAATGTAAAGAAAATGATGGCTAGTGAAACAGGGTCCTTCCTGAGGCACCAAAACTAATGTAGAATGTTAAAAACACTTTGACCTCAATATTGCCATGAACTCCAGGAAGGAAAGAGCTCAGGGGAACCCTCTGACTCCAGAGAGATGCTACAAAGAAAAAGCACTTCTTGGAGCTCACTGTAGGACTGGAACCTGGAGCAGGGAAAAAAGAGGTCAAAATATTACGCATCCTGACTTCAGGAGATGAGTATTCAAGGGTTAATATTTCTCACTCTGATATTTTTTGGGTTTTTTTTTTTTGGTAGATAAATTCTATTTAATTTACATGATTTCCACTTATAAATTTAAACCCTTGGTCATGAAGACAAAATTTCATTATGTTGAATAAGACAACTGAGAAAACTCAAGACTGAAGTTATGATCAGATGCGTGACCTTACAGAGTAGGAAAAATACTTTAAGAATTAACACTGTAAGACATAATAAAATATTTACAATGTTTTATAAAAGGAAAAAAAACGCTAAGAAGATTTGTACTTACCACAATATCTTTTCCAGCCCACTTGCACTCATCCCTTCGGGAATGAGACACAGGCCAAACAATCTAAAGACACAAAACAAAAATCAGATTGTGTTATTACATGCTTCAATATTCACAGAATGCTAGAGTGCCTTTATCTAGTTTCTCTTTCCCCCATTCTTTTCCTTATTCCCTTTTCTTCCTTAAAATTTGACGACAAATAAATGGAATATTGGGAACAAAACAGGGATAATAGGAGCCACAGTAAAAACAATCTTGAAATATAGTCTGTATTGTGAATTGCAGCTGTGAATCTCGAATACTAATGATAAGACGGTTGACTCTCCATTAAGTGAATGTTCTTTCAATGTTTTAAATCTCATGGAATGGAGACTAAGAGCAAAAAATTGCAGATACTTACTAACAATAAATGGGATCTGTGTGAAATTCGATCACACATTAGTTACAGCATCAGAAATGAGCTGCTTGCCTCTTAGTGTATCTACTAGTTTACTCTTCTGCTAGGTTTAGTTAATTAAATAATAAAAAGAAGCCAAGGGATTTGAAAAGTTTCACACCATCAAAATAGAAATGTTTATGCTGTTCCTATAGAGCAGCCCTAACATAACCAATCCTAAACCTAAGGATTTGCTGTAGTGTTTCTGCAGAAAATGGATCTCACCTCATACAGAGAAAATCAAGAGACCCTCACAGTCAATTATTCATGTTTCTTTGAAAAGCTTTTAGGAATTACATATAGAATAAAACATGATCTTCCCATAAAATGCAAGGCTATTCATTTGGGAGCCTCAGATAATGCAATATGAATGGCCATAAGTCTGGATTACAGTCTTGGTGTTCAATATAGAAAGCAAAAGGCAAAGTATTAATGAAAAAAAAAAACAAAAAGAAAGAAGGATGAACATGGATGACAGAAGAGGTCAAAAGAGACATTATAGATGACATTTGAAAATACAATTTGCAACATTTTTAAATTCAAAATTTTCTTAAAACTTAATGAAATTCAAACACAAACAAACATGTTAAGTCTATAAAATAAGGCTGAAAATTTTATGAGCACATTCTCTCTCAAAGGATTCCCACTACTTCCTGTTGCTATTCTCAGCTTAAAACGTGCAGAGACACGCGAAAATTAAAATTTACTACATTGAAAAACATTAACCAAACTTCTCAGATCTCCCAAAAGGATCAGTTCAAGTTCAGTTCAAGTTTTGGGCAAAAATTTCAATATTTTTAAACCCAGTATTCTAGATGTTCTTTTTCCTTAGTCTCACAGCACAATATTTTCCTCAAATTTGTTTTAAAAGACAGCTAAATCGATCTCTTTTTAATAAATTGAAAGAGTTGGCTTTTTGAGTTTTGATGTTGCCACGAGCATTTAGACAGAAACCTGAGGGGCTTTTTTACATGGCAGAAGAAACAACCAGTAAAGTTTGAGCTCGAGTTCAGCACTGGCTGCATTGTAATTTTGATTTAAGTTTAATAAACAGATCTCCAAATTCTTTAAGCCTTTTGTCTATTCTTAAACCTAAAGTCTAAATTGTAAGTCTTTTCTCTAAGTCTGTTGCTAACATACATTTTCCTGTTACCGGCAGCAATTCTTTATTTAATATTTTAATATTTGTATATAAAATCAAAGAGTGTTCTAAAGGTATCTAAATATGTAAGTATGTAAGACACAATTCCTCCCATTCTACAGAGCTGTTTTCTGCAATGGAAACACCTTCTTTCCTTTAATTATTCCAGATGTTTTGCACATTAAGCTATTGATCCCTCAGAGAATTCAAATAAATAGCTAGTTTCCTTTATAGCTGCTCTAAAGAGAATAGAAAAGAAAATACCCAGTTTTCCTTTTATCCTTTTATCCTTAGAGAATACAAATGAATAGCCTGTCTTCCCTCTGAACAGAAAACACAAGGTATTTATTGCTATCATCTTAGGAAGCTAATAGTCAAACGGCCAAAAGGTCAGGAACACCAAGAAAAAAAAATAATCCCTGGGTATTAAAGCAATATATCTCTCATAAAAGGGTACTCTCTGGATTTTAAAAGTGTGCCATCAAAATACTTAATATAACAAATCAAACCTCCATCCCATTGTTTACCTTCTTGGCATTTTGTCTTATTAAAATAAATGAAAAATTAAATTATTTATTTAGACTCCAACAGAAGAATGACACTAAACTATTTGTCAGCTTTTAATGAGTCACCAACTTTTATTGGAAAATTATACTCTTCATCAAGAATGGCAATATTTTACTGACTTATTCCTCTTTTATTAATACTGAAACCATTTTGATTTGAAAGCAGCAGAAGCAGAGGTCCTACAAGTGCTAGGTTAAAGAATAAAAATCAACACAGAACTCTCAAACAGCTTGTTTTATCTGCAAACAAATACAGAGCAATAAGGCCTTTCTGTGCAAACTGTCATAAGAGATGTTTGGCTTTTTTAGCAGTACACATGAAAGTATGTCTTGTTTGGGAAGTAGCTGGATTATTCACTTATCCTTTACTTTTTTTTAGTAGTCTGAAAAAAATATTGCAGATTATACTGTCAAAGGTCATAGGCTCATTATAAATTTCTCTTCATAGAGTCAGCAAATATTTTCATTGTAATAGTATTCCTGACATCCAAACACTTACTACATAATTCCAACAGTGCACAACATAGTCTGAGTAATAACAAGTCTTCAACATTAAAAGTATATATTTACATTGCACAGAACATGAATGAATGTACCTTTTGATATTCTTTGATGTTAACCAGGTTGAAGGAAAATATGTGATCCTTTGCTCCAACGTACAGCCGACTCCGTTCTTCATCCAAGAGGAAAGTGTGGTAACTGGAGCTGTTAGCTAGTCCATTGAAATTGATTATATTGTTGGATTCCAACATTTCTGTAAGACAAAGGGAATACTTTTGTTGTTAATACGGTCAAATGAAATACAGACTTATATTTTGACTTGTATAGATACCATTTTAGGTATTTATGCTCAGTGAGTAGGAACCAGTGAAAGCATTACGTACCTGGGACTTGACTGTTTTTTATTTCAAGTACTGAAACTGGTTGTGAGATTCAGCTCTACACAAAGGTCAAAACAACAGCAAAATCAATTAAAAGCCTGTACGAACTTTTAGGTGGTAAAATTCTATCCATGTAGCTCATCAACTGTTGGACAAAGTTCAATTTTGTTCAATCAGTGAGATTTGCAAGGATAAACTTGAGGATAACCAGCTGATAAAAAACACATCTAAACACAAAATCTACTTCCAGCAGAAAAAAACTATTTCATACAGATCCATAAGTTACAAGAAAAGGGATAAGAATGACCAGCTGATGAGAGGAAATAAGATGTAACATCTATTCTTACATGTATTATTCTCTTTGAGCTTTCTGACACAGGCAGCATGTTGTTCCCTTCCTTGAAACAAGAATGAAGCTAGAGAAGGTAACTTGGTTTCTGTTAAACTTAAGAGTAATACTCTAGTTCTCATGCTCCTCACAGAGCCATTGCACTTGATAGGATTTTTTTAAGTACAAGGATCCTCAGCATCTTAGCTATTCAAACATTAACAAAGTCATACATACTTTTCTGAAACTGCTGAAAAATATTTTTGCCATAATATAATGTAGACTATATTAGTACAAATACTCATGAAAACACTCTTTCTTTATTCCTGTCTATCTACATTCATATCAGGATCAAAACCAAACCATCTCTATCATTTTAAGGCATACATGCACTAGTAATTCATCAATAAGAAAGATTCCTGGTGATGGCAAATCCTATGTGGTTCAAGCCCTGACCTTGGGACATACAAAGGCAAACATGCAGTTTTAGGAGCAGGAGCAGTTCCATTGATGGACCCAGGAGGACAGATGAGAAAGGGACTGAACACATCCAGTGCAAGGGCTGATGGCCCAAGCTTCATGTATCTAACATTTGTGTTACTTCTGCCATATGTGCAAGCTGAGGACGTCTAGGATTTGTCTAACAGTGCAGCTACCTGCTATGACTTTTTTGTTTTAAGTAAGATCCCTCCCATTTTCCATCATTACTCCAACTGAGGAGTGAGTGTAAGATAGCATCCCCTATGCTGTTAAAAATCAAGGAGAATCTGCTGTTAAAACAGAAGTTGCTGCCTAATTCTTTTTAATCTTATTTTTCCTCTTTTCCCCCCCTTATTTTATTTTAACAAGAACAAGGTGTATGTTAGATGAGGCTTTTTTGAACCTACATAATAGTAGTACACATGAATTTACAGAATTTCAGCACCTGCATCTTTGTAGTCCCGCAGATGTTAAACCTATTTTTCATGTTCACTTATACCAGGTGGATTTTGAAGCAGGCTGATACTCTGAAAAGGAAAACATTAGTAGGCAACATATTTAAGGAAGACAAAGATAACACTGAGAGTTGCATAACACTTGGGCTAGCTTTGCTCTGGTGTTCTTTGCATTTATTTGAAAAAACTCTCACTAGCACCAAAAAGAGTTAATTCACAAAGCAAACCATCACAGCACACACTATATTATGTTCCATATTCTACACTTTTTCTCACTAAATATAACTATACATTTATATCACAGTATACTTTTTAAAACTTGTACTGCTGGAGACTGAAGTTCCCTTTTTTTTTCCTTTTTTTTTTTTTCTTTTAAATGAAACAATCAAATCACCCCAAGCAGTCTTGTCAAAATAATTCTTCTGGCTTCCTGCCAAGTTCTAGAATTTGACTCTATTGTCCTCTGGTTCATTTATTTGCATTTTGTTAGAGACTTTACTAATTCTCTTTACTTTGTAATGACTGATTCAGATGTTGAATGTCGACTCACTGAATAGTGAGTGATGTAGATGATTGATTGCTTAACTTGTCTTAGAACTCTCTTGGCTAGAAATGCTTTGCTGTCATCTGTATCTGATCATTTTTCTTATAATATAGCTGTCAAAAACCTTTATAATTTTTTCATCTTTCTTGGTTTGTACTCACATAGGTATGATTCTGTCCTTTGTGACTGCAGTGTAAAGACAAGTGTCTGCTGAAGTCAACGCTACACAAAGGTAAAACTGACAAAAATGGAAATAAGATCGGTTAGGCACACAGCTACTTGGCTTAAAAGGAGCTTGATATGATTTTCCTAATGCAGAGATCTAAATATTCACATCTACAGATGGTGATTGATGTTTTCTTTTCTTTCTAATATTCATGAAAAAAGTGAGATCATAACATTGGAGTCTAAGGTTTATTACGGCCAAGAGTAAATTACATCATCATCTTCACTGTTCATAAGTCTCTACAGTATAACTTAAAAGGACCAGATGTAGCTGTGCAGGGAAATATATATATTTTTTTCTTTTAATTATCTGTGACTTTCAGAGTAAGCAACGATATTAAAAGTAACTGTGTTGGGTTTTTTCGTGAACATGTAACTTAAACTAAAAGCTAAATTCCATTGTCTAAAATTAGGACATTTCTTCTAGGTTTTAATCCAGTCTGTGTCGTATTGTCACATTATTGACTTTTGCAGGAGATGACTAGATTTCCAGGGTCTGTTGCCCAAAAGATTAGGTCTAAGCATGCTCCAAGCAGTGTATTTCAAATTGTTTGACATCAGGTTTCTCCCCATCAGGAATCAGGTTGAGAATACAGGTTGAGGAGAAAAACGTCATTTGTGTGTTGATGATTCTCAATCACTGCTAATTTAGTTAGGTTTGAGCTACATCACAAGTAGGAGGTGAAAACCTAAATAATTTCTGCAGATCCTCTGCTGTTTATTTTAACTTACATATATTTGTCCAGTGATGAATATGGCTTTATAGGACATTCTGGACAGGCTGTTGAAGAGCAAAGCAATGACATTTGCACAATCAATACAAATTAAGTATTCGACTTCCCCAAATTCATTAATTTCAAAGTGTTTACTATCCAGTGTCTTCAGTAGCCAATCAGTGGCTACTGCTAAGAGAAACAGGGCACACTCCCAGAAGGGCACTGACATCCATCGATTCTGTTAAGTGTCGATCACTCATGCTGGTAAGGTACACGGATGATCGCTGATAATATAAACCAAGATTTACAACAAAGATTGCATTGTAACGACAAGAGGAGAATGATGAATGTCTTCAATAAATCAATGAGATTAATACTATCTATGATGCATACCCTAATTATTTTCCTGGGTTTTTTTGTTCTTATTAAATGTAGGCATATCCATGAGCTATACAGACAGGTAACGGTTGCCTGTATTTAAAGTAATTTTTTTTTACTTCCTCCATGATCTGCGCAGTTATTTTTATTGCAAAAACGTAACATTATTCCACCTTTTCTTTTGCAGTCAAGTACCATTTCTTCAGTAATTGCCCAGAGATAATTTTCTTATTTCCTTTTGATATATCCTCAGTTGTAGTCATGCTTGTAGTTTTGAACAGGAATGAAAGAGCCCTATACAGTTAACCATTGTACACTATGACTAGTGTACAATGTCTAAAAAATGTAGTGTACCATTGTCTAAAAAATGCTCTAAGATGTAGATTTAGAGTGGGTGGTGATATTTTGAAGGTAATAGATATGTTATTGCTTTTGTTATTGGTGCTTGCTTCCCATTTATTAAGTGTTGCAGGTGACCAAAACTAACGGTTCAAAATGCACCATATCTTAAAAGGTAATCATATTATCATGAATTTTCACAGTGATGACCAGTGAAACCAGATGGAGATTGAGTTTCTCAAGGTCTGTGGGCCAGATTCTCCTAGGAACCACTTCACTTCAAACTGCTTTAATTCACAGTCCTGACTTGCTTGCTCCATCTTACTCGTTCTTCTCTGCCAGTGTCCAAGTTTGAAGTATTTGACCTTTTTCAGTGTGCCTTTCTGCAGAGTCTGCATGATCTTTCTTCCACTAACTGATGTTTCTCTTGATCCAGTCTGACCTGAGTCAGAACATTCACTTTGCCAGGCCAAGTTGGCAAATTTACAGAAGTAAACCAGTCCCTAACCCTTGCCTTCCTCTTAATACATGGTTATTTAACTTGCTAATGGAATCGTAACTTAATAGTATGTATACACACAGAGGGCCAAATTCCTGCTGTGAAATCCATGGAGATATGCATGCACAATGAATGCAGATTTGTTTTATTTTTATCACACTTTTTCATTAAAGAAGCAGCTAGAAAACCACAGCTATACCTAAGATGAATATAGGCAGGCAGATCCTGAAGTTTGCTTTATCCATGGTTGGTATTCCACTCTAAACCTTGTTTTATGTCTGTGTTCCTTCAGCAGAGTTTGTCAGGAGGAGAACATAACAAAAGAAAACTATCTTATTTTTTCCTTATCTACTAGCAGGGAAGCTGTCTTTGTAGCAAGAGCGAATTTGCCTGTGCAACAAGTCAGAAAATTTGTGAGCTTTGGCCTGTGTTCCTGCTATAGACGTCACAACGACACACCAGCCAAGATTATTTTTGTTGTCAAGGGTCAAAGGAGCACATCAATTTCTCTAAAAATCAGAGGAAAGGTCTCCTAGTTTCCTCAGAAGGATTCAGATCTGGACCTGTCCTACTCCCAGTGACTCTGCAGAGTGACTGGGTTATACAGGCAGTGCTGCTCGTCATAACACGCTCGTGAAGCCAACGAGTGGGTTGCTGGTTGCACGAAACTCTCGACCTTCATTCCTTTGCCAGCAACGATAATATCTCACTGTGTATCTCCTAGCAGTAGATAAAAAATGAGTCAATGCCATTATGCCATCAAACAGGGATTTTGCTGAACTGTGAGCAGTGCCTCCCACAACGTCATGCTAGAACATTTCCTTCTTCTCTCGCCAGGCCTTTACTTTGGCTACAGAGGATCAGGTGGCTGCATGTTTGCACATGCATTTGTTGCTTACACAGATGTAT